GCTCAGTTGTGCCACATTGACAGCATCCAGTAACTTTCAGCACAACTTCACTGCAGATCTGTGTCAGTATACTGAGTCCATTTCATCTCTGCACATCGGCTTTCTCTGTTGCTCTGACTGTATGCCGCCTTCTGCCGTCTCGCTGTCCTCACAATAGGCCTCTGTGTGCACGGCCCTCGGAATGCTGCGAGATGGCAGGGCAGTGGGATAGCTGCATGGTGGGGATGGGGGTTGGTGGGTGAGGAAGGGTGTGGAAGCTAGGAGGATGAAAAAGAGGAGGCGGGGAGAAGAGGGGAAGCGAAGGGACGGCTACTATTGGAAGGAGGTGTGTGTGTGTGCGTGTGCAAGCGTGTGTGTGTGATGTCTGTACTATATGGGTTCAGAGAGGCTCCAGGGGCCTACAGGGTGTCCAGGTTTGGACACAGTCACCGTGTTCAGGTGACAAGACCATTTGCCTGCAGAAGTGCAGCGGTAAATATGAAAGACTTCAGGCTTTTTTGTTGTTGTTGTTTCAGCTGAATAAGAAACACAAAAAATATATATTTTTCACAACCGATAAGAAAGGTGGTTGCACTTAATGTGGCTTCTTGGTGTTGGCACTCAGCATACTTAGTAAATAATGCAACATGCAAAGCATGTAACACTGACAAGTGCCACCTGTGCAGCTTTTGTCCAGAGTTCATTATTTGTTTAGGGGTCAGAGGTCGTTGAGGCAACTGGAGGAAGGAAGAACTTTTAAAATAAGGACTAATTTTCCAATGAACCATAAACTAGTAGAAAAACAGATACAAGTAGAGGTGGGATGTTTGCCAAAGGAGCTGAACATTTGAGGGACGACTTCTGATTGGTTCATGGCTGTTTAAAAGCAGAACTTGCTGATCGTTTACATTTTTGTTCCAAAAGATTTGGCAATGTTCTTACTTAGCTCGAGTCCGATTTGTCTATCTCTGCTCTTTGTGATAAGTCTTTTATCCAATTTAATATGTTACTATTCAAACGCTGTCACGCAACACGGTAACACTTTTGGATTCTTATTATTATGTAAGACTTTGACATAGGCGTGTTGAAGGTTTGGGGTTTAAATGAAGCTAGAAATGGATTCAATTAGGATTTTTTTAAGCAGCTAGGTGCCACACACCACACAGAATGCTCCCTTGGCGATGGGAGATATGAATAAGTGAGCACGCTGAAGTAGTTTTGAAATTTAAATATATTGGGTGTTGTGCACAGAACATTGAAAGTGTTTGCTATTGCTTTAAATGCTCCAGAACTAACAGATATTTCCTATCATGTTCAATGCATCACATTGTCTACCTGTCTGACTCACTATGAAACATATGTATTGTTTATGATCCAAAGTTGTTTTTTATTATTAATTTTAGGAATGATTGCCTTAATTTTGTCCTAAACAACCTCAAGACAGGCCTTCTTAGCCAAGGTTTTATCCAGACCTCCAGATTGCAGAGTCTGAATGAAAGCACCAGCACCAGCATGCTTCCTTTCCTGTGTTAGGTGGAGGGGGAAGAGGTTAAGTTTGTGCAGGCTTGGTGAGTCCAGCAAGGGGGGGCTTTCTCACACAAGATGGAGGCTGAAGGGACAAAGGTGGCATTCATTGGCGAAGGAATGGAAAACATTTTCTCCTGAAAACAGAGAAGCTACAACCGGCAGCGGTAGCGCAGAGAGGCCATGGGTTAGCATGCATCCCATAGGAGAAGTCACATGTCTGGCAAAGCAGACAAGGTGGTCAGAACCCTCGTTTATTTGGGAGATAAAATCGTGTCACCTTCAAAGGTCCGCCTGGAATGCGACAATGGAAAGACTACAAGACATGAAAGCAAGCATGTTTATGCTCTGAAATTGAGCATGGGCATGGCAGTTTGGGAGTTACTGTAGGTCACTCTTGTAAGGACCTAAAGTTGCTGTAAAGAAAACAAAAAGGAGAGAAATCACGTCTCAAAGAACAAAGATGCAACGCCAAAACAAAAAGAACAAAAGAAAAACAGAATTTTCAAAAGATTAAACAGCAAGAACATTTTAGAAAATACAGCAAACTGGAAAAATACATCATTACGGTGAACACAAGTTCAAAACAGAAAACTAAGAGAAAACAAATATCTCGGTGTGAAAAGGACACAATAATATAACATTTCAAATACATTTTAGTTTCTTGTTCCTTGATTTATATGCTTGAACTGCTAGCATATTTTTTTATGATTTAAGATGTATTTTCTATAGGCTCCATAGGGGGAAAAAAACATTTGTTAAGCCACTGTGTATGTAGCAGAGTGCAAGACTCTTAAATACATCCTTGTGTCCTTTGAAAAGCAAGAAAAGTTTGGGGAAGATAGACTGACCACACACCAGAGAGTGTGCGCCACCTAGAGGACAAAACAGAAAAACACCAGTAAATCATTGAGAGACACTCGCCATGGGGTGTCGCCATTTTAAAGCAGTAGGAATATTTCACACTTGACTGCTCACTTAAACATGATTAAACATACCTGGCGTTATTATATGTGCTTTATCATTATATTCACAGACAACTGATCAAATACATCCAAATACATCATATTCAAGTGCTCATTCTTCTTAATGCTATTTCTATGTAAAACAAAAGTAAAGATATGTTTTAGTTCTAACTATGATCAATATTATTATTAAAATAAGCAGGCTAAAGTTGTTGTTGTAGTATACATCTGAACGGCATATATTATGTAAACCACAAAGCAGTTGTAAAAAAAGTTGTGAATAACTAAATAGTTTCAGAAAACTAACAAACATTTTTATGAAAGATATGTAATAACCGAGTAAGCCAATAAGGCCACGTTATTGTACATGTACATCCATGTAAAGCAGAATATCATTAAGAAGCAAATAATTTAATTATAAAAACAAAACTCCTACATATAGTATATCTTAGTTAATAATGCTTATTTCTGTTCATTTAGATGATGATGGCTTGTGGCTAATAAAAAAAACAACATTCAATTTCTATGAAAATAAAAATAATGGAGAAGATTGGTAAAACAAATTTTTTTTAACTCAGAAATATCAGTTCACTCTAAAATATGTCCATGTCTTATCCAACATATCTACCCATCAATACACGATCAGTCCTTCTTTTACATAAATTACTCCATTATAACAATGCTAGTAATCAGTTTTTGGCACTGCTAAGATGTTAAGAAAGCCAGCATTGCTTAAATAATGACATTTAGGTGGTCTTCTTTATTGGGTTTGGTCTTTTTCAAGTTTTTCTTCTTTATGCCTCTCTTTAATTCTCAATAGGCTTTGAGTGCAGTGGGTTTGTTGGTCGTGGTAATTAAAGCAGGTATAGGTGGCTTTGACAGTGTGGACTCATGCCCAGTCCTCAGTTTGGAGTTAAAAAACCACAGTGAAACAGTATCAGCAGATGACATGGTTCACTAAACACCATCAATGCGTTAACTTCGCACTGGACCCACACAACCTGGATTCTGTGCTTCCTCTAGGGTCCGCGATATTGACATGAAAATTACATTTTTACACTTATCTATTAATAGCCCAGTCTTTTTTTTTCCCATCAGTAAAGCTAAGACACATCTGCTGTTTAAGCTCATGCAACAACTGTAGCTCATTTTATTTATATGTTTGCAATTCATGGCTCTCAAAGCACTATCTCAACATCTTCTGAATGTCCTCTTAATTCATGAATGGGTATTGCTCTACATTCTTAAAGTGAAGGTTTTTTCCTATTGCTTGCACAGCCTTTTTTGTACTGTATTATATTTTTTTTATAGTATATTCTTCCTTCCACTCAGTTTCAATTAGTTTCAAATGGCCAGCTGCTTTAGTGGCTTATCCTCCTGAAGATTGTTAAAACTTCATAATCTTTTCTTTTTTTTTTTCCATACTCATGAGACAGATTATTGAGAAAAAAATATCAAGCTCCTCCACCACCTCCCACCACCACTCACAGTGCTACAAAAATGGTCAAAAACAACAAATCAGTGTCAAGAGAAAGGTCTTTTAGCGCTGTCAATCAACCTCCTGTACACTGCTCAATGTGCTAATAGTGAAAAATTACTTAGTTACATAAAAACCATTTAGCTGCTGTCATTGGTGGCTATGCTGGTTCATCATTGAGGTGAACTAGCTGTAGCTTAACAAAAGCAAAGGGTGTGAACAAAAGCAAAGGGTGTGAGCATAAGTGATTGACAGCGTTAAAACACTCTTCCTTACTCTGATTGGTCGTATTCCTGAAGTTAGTAGTACTGGGAAAACTGGGAGAAGGCGTGGGCAGAGTTCTATGGTTTTCAATAGAATAGATCACATGTGTAAAACTCAAGGCCCGGGTGCTAAATCTGGCCTACTGTAGCTTTTTACGTGGCCCTCAAGACTACCAATAAGTCCTTCCAGTTTTCCACAAATCTGCAAAATTCACACAAAATCAACAAAACTTTATTTTTTTCTGATTTTACAGCAATTTCTTTTCAAAATTGGTCAAAGACATTGAATTCAGCCTTACTTGATGTCAAGATATAGTCCGTAATAGAAGTAATAATTTAACATAATATATTATGATATTTGTATCATCAAAATTCCTTACAAATATTTCCAAGTTACCGCCACAAAATCAGTCATTTTTATTGCAAAAAAACCCCAACAAAAAAACAAAAAACAACACAAAAACAACCACAAAATCTTGGAGGAACAACCATTTATTATTGTTTAAGCAGTTTAATTTGTTTTATCAATATATTCTGGCACAACCGGCCCTTTAAGAACATTCCATTTTTTGATATGACCCAAAATGAAACTAAGTTTGACAGCTCTGGAGAAAATTTAACATCTGTCTTTTATTGCACATGACAAATATGAAGAGAGCATAATAAAGGATGCGGTTGGCCTGTTTTGCGGGTTTCTAATGAGGAACTTAAGGTAAGACGGTGGCAGCAGTACCTGGAAGCCTATCAAACTTCACTCCGGTGCAGTTTATTGAACCGCTGAGTCCTGCCCGGGTTACAGCTCCGCCCCTGGTAACAGCCTGTTCAGTACATGAGCCACGCGGGGAGACGGCAGCTGCTATTAAAGCTCCGAGGACCAAAAGGCCACCGTTCACATTTATCCACCAAGACCAGCAGGCGGGTTGACAAACTAAAGCCCCACCTATCGCAATGCATTGCCTGAAAAGTCTGCGGACGATCAACCCGGGAATCTTGCAGCTGTTTAAAAATGCAGTTATTTCCGCCAGACTTGGAGCTGACACCTCCAGGAGTCAGCAACTTGTTCCTCTCTGGACGGCAACAATTCACTCCCACAGAGCCTTCCATCCTCATCAGAAAGGCCCTGATGAGGACCAAGGACACTGCAAGTAGGTCGCAAACGTTTGAAACTATTGCATTCAACAGCAGTCGTTCAATAAACCTTACATTTATTAGTTTCAAAATGTGATGTTCTGCTTCCGTGAAGTACCATTTTAAATGAGGCTGTTGGAGATCAACTGGATTTCAATTATTATTACTCCTAGCAGTAACTTTATTCGTTATTTTTTTTAATGCCACTTAAGTTTAAGTGGCATTGAATATGCCAGTTATTATACCAATATGCAACTTTTTTTGCATGACAGAAACCAACGGTCGTCGATTTGATGTTGCTAACCAAGATACTTAACGGAAAATAGTTTCTCCGCCATTAGCACACATAGCTGCTAAGACGAATTGTTTCTCACCGAGAGTTTCCTTCTTTCATAAATTATCTATCTCATATTATACAAGAGACAAACATTTAAACATAGATACAGATTTTTTTGTTATTTATTTATTTTACATGATATAAAGATAACACACTGCAGCTGTAAAAGTGTAGCTAACCTTAGAGGTGAAAGACGAGCAGCCGCCATCTTGGTGCATTTGCGCTAGCTTATTTAAAAAGTAGGCTGTTCTGACACAGTCGGAACAATTGATACACAAGTTCATATAAAAACAGAAGGAGATGAAAGATGTTTTATCAGCCGGATTTTTGTTCATTTTGGCTGACAGCATCTAGTTATATTTAAGGGAAGTCTTCATCCGCCATGTTTAGTAGTGGATGACGACAGGCTACAGTGGCAAAATTATATTACACCAATAATTTGTAATTATTGTAAAGTTGATGTATTGTAAATCAAGTTATTAATAAAAAGTAAGTCTAAAATAATGGTTGTTTTTTTTTTTTTAAAGTTTTATGGAAGTAATTCCACTAGTGGTACTTCCCCATGTGGGGTTCTGACATGGGATATACCCTTAAAGTTACTAAAAAATATTTTGGCACTAAGGCATTCTATGATTTATTTCCAGACAGAAGGATCTCAAATTCTCTGAGCTAAAATGATCCCAGAGAACATGAATTTAAGCAAGAAAAATAAAAGCATCCTTGGATGATTAAAGCATTCCAAGTAATAGACCAGAGCAGTTATTAGCAGATAATTATTTTTATAGTTCAAGAAAAAATAATTGATTAAAATTCAAAAGAATAAATTCAGCTGAAGACACTGAACATCCGGAAAAAAGACGTAATATTTCCAAAAACTCTAAAAGGAAAGGAAAAGAGAACAATGAGAACTTCTTGAAAAACAGCCACTTTAACTTAATCCAAGTCCACTTAAGATATTCAAGGCAAAGTGGAAAATTATCCTCTGGCCTGACACGTGGAAATTTGAAAAACCATTTTAATCACAAACTCTTAAGTCCTCCAGCCTAAATAGAAGAGGGCTCATTCTGCTTATCAGCACTGGGCTCTAATGCCAGAATCCATTTGGATTCTGGCGTGAACATGTTGTGAATAATTTAATTCACCATGCAAGTCAAATGATATAAACAGATATTAAAACTGCCAATGTTGCTATCAATGTTATGACTTTTTCAAATAATGTCTTGCATATTTCAGTAAGAAGTTGTCAAATAGAACTTTGTGAATATTAAATGAACACCATCTTTACTAAAAGATAATTAACTCGCCATTAATTGTTGGACCAAGTAATAAGAAAATAAGAAAGTCTTAATGTGCAACAGTTCTTAATTAAAAGCTGCTAAAAACTTTGTAAAACAACACATAACTTATTTGCCCAATGCTTTAATAACAAGTCATAAGATTGATTGATTAACCACTTACAGCTTTTTCCAATTTAAAACAATAAGTTCTCTTTTATTGGTGTTATTGTTATTGTAATGGCTTCTGTTCATAATCATTTTAAACCTAAATCTGCCTAGAAAAGTCTCAAATTAGTTTTTGGTTTCACAAATAATAAAACAGCATGTTAAGTACAGTGGGTAATGAATGGTTGTAATGTAACAACTAAATTTGTGCTCAAATATTAAATGGTAAAAAAGAAACAGTTTACACATTAAGCTTCTCATTTGGAATATTTTATTGTTTTTGAGAACGCTTTGAGGGTTGAAAGATGCTACATAAGTCTGATGTTATTTAATTTCATTCATATTTTGTGATTAATTGATGATTTAATGGTAGCTCATGTAGCATTTATATTCATTCTTACACTGTATTTATGTTTTTTTATTAAACACACTTTCATAGCCCTGGACTAAGGTCAATATCTGGCCAGGTGCCATTACCTTCACTGCCAGTGGAGATGTTGACATAAACTTTGAGCTTCTACTCACTGTTTTGACTTAATACACTGGAGTCCATCCAGCTTTAAGATCACAACATACTGTGTTTGTTGTGTTTTGTTTTATTTTGACAGAAGCCGGCTCATGTCCAGCATAGAGGACCTGCTGTTTTACACCATCACAGATGGGAAAGAGATGATCCCCATCTCTCAGTTCTTCTCTGTGAGTTAGTGCATCAACAAGTGCTGATTTGAGTTTCCGAAGCACGCATGTGAGCAATTTAATTGTTCTTTAATTAAAAGAACAATTTTGAATTGCTCTTTTAATTACGATTCCCGTAATCTTTCACAGATTATGGCAGTCCGTGTTTTTGTTATGTTTCATGAGAACACCTTTGACTTTTATTAGATTAACCTTGGTGAGAAACATTACACCCCACCAGAAGAATCTAAAGCGTCTCCTGACTGGAAGGAATGGTTTAAAGGGTGTTTATGACCACCTTAAGGACTCAGTCTAAATATATCTTGTATAATGCTGTAGATTCAGGGAATTAACATAAGCAACTAACTGCTTTGAATGTTTAGTCTCTGGTCTTAATTCTATAATCTGTTGCATTTTTCAAGTCATTCTTAGGTTTGAATGCAGTGTCCATAGCTAAACAGTCCGCTAGGCTTTAATCAAGGCAAAATACCAAGCAAATATTTAAATAATGAACAACTACACTGATGGAAATAAACAGGTTTCTATAAGAATCTATGATAATTATGTTGTTATAGAAAAATAGACATCTGGTGAACTCGATGTCTATGACAACTGAGTCATTTTAAAAACAGCCATGCGTTTAGGAGCCATGTGTCAACACAGGTGGCAGATTGTTATGCCACAGACGACTGAAGGTGTTTGTAGAGGAGACTCAGGCAGAAGACGAATGGTGAGAGAGCTGCTCAGACTCTTTGGATTAACAATAACAACGGAAAAAAGAGAACAAAAAGCCAACCTCGTGACTACTTTGGATATATGTAGTTTAACAACACTGGCATATTTTTATGTTTTTTTTTTCCTTTCAAGCAAATAATACTTTTTTGCAGATTATGCACTGTTTTTTCATTAAATATTAAAGATGCATAAGAAATAGTGATGCACAGTATATCAATGTTGACATCAGGATCAAATAATAATAGTCATTTTTAACTTATCGGTATTGGTCCATTAAGTAAAAATTTACTGATATTAATAACCAATATTTATTTCCATTTTATAGCTGGCTATGTGTGTTATTTGGGAGAAGGAGGAGTTAGTAATGTGATATTTGTTAGGGCACTTAACAGTGAAAGTCATTCAGAGCAATCATTTGGATGTTTTGACTGAAGCAGCACAGCAATGTCAGTCGTCGTTTTTTTGTCGAAACAGTCGGGAAATATATATAATATAGATATATATTGGTTATCAGTCAAAACAGCAATATGAATATTGAATATCATTATCGGCCTGAATTTTCACACCGGTGTGAACAGTGAACCCCCGCTATAACGCGATTCGCCCTTCACGGTCTCGCTGCTTTGCGGATTGTTTTGTGCAATTTTTTTCTCACAGTGCTTCTGCGTCCTGATTGGCTAAACAGTCTCCACGGTTCTTCTCTAAACATCGTGACGTGCAAAAAACGTTACGGTATTTAAATATACATAATACAGCTTGCTGTTTTTGCCCAGAAGAAAAAAGAGCAACAACAACTACCAATAACTACGTTCCTCTCCTGAAAAAACAGACCTGCACCACAGGCTTCAGAAGAAAAAGACACAGCGGAGCGGTCAGAGTCGCAGTGAAATACGCGAGTCACAATTTGTCCTTATTTGTAAGAAAGTATTCTATTTGTTAAAAAAAATCCTTGGACCTGAAAACAGGTTTTGTCTTTTTATTTCAATGTAGAGTATTTAATTATGCTGTATAATAATTGTAAAAAATAAAGTTAACTACTTCACGGATTTTGCCTATCATGAGTTCATTTTGGAATGCGAAAAATGAGGGTACATTGTAATAGAAACTAGGGCTGGGCATATATCAGTTTATTTGTCATTTATTGTGAAAAAGTTCTTGTCATGTTAAGAATTTTAATTCATTGTTTCCACAATAACTTTCAGGTATTATAAAACAGAAAACAAATTGAAATGTTATTTTTACTATTTTCACCCCTGCTTTTTCCACAGGAAAAAAAAAAGAGTAAATTCAAAAATTGGATTAAATTTTTGAATTTACTCTATAAATCACACTTCTTTAAGTAAGTGGCGTTCCGAAAAAGCTTATTTCAAATAGGCTTGTTTTTCAATTCCGTTTTTTTATTGTTATCACAATAGTCCTACAAAATATCATGATATAATGCTAAGTTGCTCACTCCTAATAGAACAAATTAAATCTTGTTTTAAAGTGACAGCACATGCTAATGAACTCCAAAATAGGAACAGCATGCACGGAGCTCCAACTTCACTATTTCTGTCTTGAGGCTAAGATTTTCACAGAAATCAAACAATTGCAATAGCCATTTGTGAGGTTTGTTTACACATTGAAGAGCTTGTCAACTGTGATGAGTAAATAAATAAATAAAAAAAATAGCCACACTTCTCTGGTCAGGAGGGTCAAACACATGGTATCCCCAAAATAGACCCATGTGCTTTGTGCTGTGTCTGTCAGTCACACCAGCAGCAGGAGTGAGATAGCCACTATCTGCTGTGCTTCCCTCCTCATTTCCTTGCAGGCACACTTGTGCCTTTGAAATTCCCTAACCGTGTATTTCAAAGATTCCTGCAGCTGACAGGAGAATCCCATGGTTTCGACTTAATACTCCAGACACCGTACAGTAATAGCTACCATTAATCACCGTTTCTACTATCCCTTGTGAAAAAAATTAGTTCAAACTCCTCTCTCCACTGTCTCCAGGCTTTGAGAAGAACAGGTTTGTTAACGTCTGACCCTCGGCTGCGGGACTGTATCCGTCAGATGAGACAGTCTACGCTTGACTCGATGGGACCAGTCATGATGGACAAAAAACTTTTCAGAAGGTGAGAATACTTCTGGACAGTTACAGTGTTTGTATTTATTTAAATTTTATGTGACAGCACAACCCAACGTAATGCATAAATTCTTTTCTTCCCCCTTTATTCTGATGCATCTAAGTAAAACCACCACCTACTAGTCGTCAAATAATTAGCTCAGAGTAATTTGATCTCTGTTTGTTAGTAAGCATCAACAAACACAGCTAGGAGAAAGTCAGGGACAAATTTGTGGAGAAGTTGAAGGCTATAAAAACAATATTTAAAAGTTTTAGCATGTTTTAAACCAGAGGCCATCCATCTGTTCTGACTGGCTGAGTGAGAAGAGGATTAATTAAAGAATAAGCCAAAAGACCCAGTGGAGATCAGGTGGGAATTTCTGTCAACAGGAAAAGCTATTAGCTGTGCGCTCAATAAATCTGCCCTTTACGGAAGAGATGCAAGAAGAAAACCCATTTGCAGTTTGCCACATGCTATGGAGGGGTTACATCAAACATATGGAAGGTGGTGCTCTGGTAAGATGAGGCAGAAAAATGAACTTAATGGTCTATTAACAAAAAGCTTATGTGTGGAGGAAATTAACACTACACATTGCTTTGAAAATCTAATCCCTAAAGTAAAATTATGTGGTTTCTCTTCAGCATGGACGTGGAAGCTAGTCAGAGTTGCAGAGTTGACGCAAAGAAGAAGCTAAAAAAACATATTTAAAGTCTGAAAAAGAGTTGTATCTGTCCATCAGAACAACTGTCCTAATCACAGGACTGGGACCCAGAATGTATGTTTTATGTCAAAGCACATTTATAGAATGGCCCAGTCAAAGTCCACACTTAATCAAAATTAAGAATCTCTGGCAACACCTGAAAACTGCAGTTCCAGTCTGACTGGGTTTGGACTATTTTTTTTTCATACTGGGAAGAAATTTAGTCTTTAGATGTAGCATTGGGACATGCAGCTGCGATCCCAAATGAAGATCTTACAAAATATTGACTCAGTGGGGGCATGAATACTGATGCATGTCTCATTTTTCTGGGTTTTATGTGTGGAAAAAAGAAAGAAAAAGAAAAACATGAATCATTTTCTCCCAATTTACAAATGGTGCATCATGTATAATCTCAAAAAATATAGTTGGGACGTGACAAAAAAACCCCCCAAAAAACAAGGGGTGGGAATACTTTCATAAAACTTTAAGCAGAGAGGAGACAGAATGCATCTACTTCAACAAACATTCTGGATGTGTCAATGCTGTGCAATTAATAGTTGAAACAGCATGGAAAAAAATAATAAATGAGTACAAGGTGTTGGGTCAGATTAAACTGAGGGACTCTAATGTGTTTTTGTTGCGTAAGAAAGGTGATATGTGGTCAACTCTATTTGAGTCCTGGAGACTGACAGACACCGGTGTTCGATAGCTGACAGATGCTATGAAGCAAATTCATGTGCATGCATGCAAGCCTGGCAGCCAAAGCAACGAAGCTTGGAGGGAAGTAATGAGGTCTCTGAGTCTGCTAATGAAAGGGCATCATTCTGGTCGAGCTCCAGACTGCCAGCCACATTAGCAGGCTCAAAGGCACCACACTCTCTGCTTTCCTAATTCTATAATTCCCTAACTGAGGTGTAATTCTCAGACTCATCTTCTGTTCTGCAGCGCCACATTGCTACGTCTCGCTAAATGAATCAGTCCTAATGTGTATGCTTGTTTTCTAAAATAAAGAGACTGTGGTAGCTTTAGCACAGATATTCTGCTGGAATAAAGAGAGAAATCATCTGTTGGTTTTTGGAAATGGCCGGCATAAATAATGCAAGCTGCAACCCACTCTCTTTTCACTTTGAAAGCCTCACGCTAAAATAACCTAGGGCTCATGGCTGCATATTTTAGTTTACACCAGTTGAGGGAGAATATACCCTTATTATTCCTTGAAAGCATACCGCGTTGTTCACCAATTATAGCAATGGTTCTGACTCGAGATTCTACCATCTTCCGTACAATACCGATGAGGGGGATTTAAGGTAATGTCTAAGTATGACTTAATGTAAAAGTGTTTCCTATGAATGAAGATGGTTATAATAAACAATTGGAACAGTAAGGGATTTACTCCTGGTGAAAGCCTGAGATAAATTCATGTGTTGTCACAGAAGCACAAACTCACACTGATCAATTTTGGAAACTCTGGGGGAAACATGCAACTGCCAAACATATTGTCTGACAACACTGACAATGAGCTTATTCATTGACAGTAATATAATTTATACTTGTTAGGTTCTTCCTGTTTTCCTGGGATAATATGGCATGACATACTATGTTTTTTCTTTTGACCTAATGCCCTCATGTCCTTCCATCCATTCTGGAATCTCTGATGCTGTGGGTTGCTTTCTCTTCTTAAGAGAAGACTTACATTTGTCCCGTTACCTAAAAGTGGTAGATTTTAGTAAAAGAAACAAAAAAAAAAACATTTGTATTTCCATAATCGTCCGCAATGAACTGAAATTGTCAAATTAAAGGCTATATTTTTCAATGATGTTAAATACTGTTGCTTCAATAAAAAGATAATTTATTTTTAAGCTTTTTGAACATATTTGAGAGGTATTCCAGTTCAGTTATCTAAATAGAATGCTTGTGTTGCAACCTGCAGTAATTAAATAGGTATGTTTTATACTTGAACCAATGACCTTCTCCACCCTTTGCCATTGGAATGTTGTTCAAGCTAAAAAAAGTGGAATAATGAAATGATAGCAATTAAGATCTGAAAATATATACTGGAAAACAATGATTATTTGGCATTTTGTCTTGTTTTTGTAAAAAAAAATCCTTATTAAATTAAAAATGACAGAGTTGATTAAAAAAGTTTGTAAAATTGCATTCAAATTTCACCGGTTTTTAAGAAACCGCCAATGTTTTTACATTTTTTAAATTCTCCACCTTCTGTCTGCAGGTGTGTCGGCAACAACATCATGTTGCTGACAAAGGCCTTCAGAAAAAACTTCATCATCCCTGACTTTGAGAATTTCACCCACCAGATCAACAGGATGTTTGAGAATGCACAACAGCAAGGAGGAGGGCATGTAAGTAAGAGTCGCTCAGGCACAGCGCCTGCTGAGTCATTGTTGCGTGGTTTCATGGGTTTCATCTCCTCAGGTAGCCGATTACATTCCTCAACTGGCTAAGTTCAGCCCGGATCTTTGGGGCGTATCTGTTTGCACCATTGATGGACAGAGGTAACACAGCACCGGGCTCGGACATGCTTTGCTCTTTGTGTTTGCAGCCTTAATAAGACTTCTCTTGTTTGCATTTCTCCATTGTGACCTTTCTGCTTGCAGATACTCAGTGGGCGACACCAAGATTCCCTTCTGTCTGCAGTCATGTGTGAAGCCACTCGAGTACGCCATCGCTGTGCACGAGCATGGCACCGAACACGTTCACCGCTTTGTGGGCAAGGAGCCCAGTGGCTTCAAGTTCAACAAACTGTCACTAAATGAAGAAGGCAAGCCATTTATGTAATCAACTAGTCGCCTTGTCAATGCAAAATAATACAAACATCCGTCTTTACTGACTGTCATATCACCTTTGGATGTACTCAAATCTACTTTGTCATTAACTCAGCAGAATGTCTGTCTCCACAGGCAAAAGTCCTCCCAGTTGTTTGTACTTGTCCTTGTGTCTGAAGTAGCTGCTCTGTTATTTTTGGATTGGTGCAGGGGTCATGTAGTCCTCTTTCAGTACAATATCTCCTTCTGAAATGTCACACAAATCAAACAAAATTGAGTTACGGACCCAAAGACAGACCTAACGACCACTAAGAAACTAGTTCTGACCGTGAATATTTAGTGGAAAGATTGACAGAAGAGATAAACTAAATAGATCCTAAAACTGTTTGCTATAAAGTAAGACAAGATCTGATCTGCCAAGAACTCTTCTCTTGTTTTAACAGAAAAGAGTTAATTAAAATGGTATTCTACTCTAATTGTTTACCATTCTATCACATTTTTTAGTCACAGTTTTATTTAATTTGGTTTATAACCTAATGGCACCTAAAAGTTTCCCGCAGAAAATTTACCTCCTAATTGTTTTCACTGAGTGTTTTTGTTTTACTTCTGTGCAGATAAACCACACAACCCAATGGTGAATGCTGGAGCCATCGTCATTAGCTCTTTGATCAAGGTAAAACCTTAGTATTTCTATATTTGTAAAAAAATTAGCAAAGATACACACTATTAATAGATATCAAAAGTGCATCAAATTGTCTACTTTTTTTTTCTTTTATCATAAGAACTAAATAGAATGCTTTGGACAAATAACTTTTTTATGAATGAGTAAATGAATTGGATAAATAAAGCTAGAAAGTAGTACTGTATATAAAATGAGAACAGAGAGAAGGGAGAGGATTAGGCTAAAAGTAATAAACTGCATCCAGACTAATAACAATAAGTTACTGAAGATTTAAAATATCTGACAAGGAAGTCAGTGTTAGGTAATACAGCCATGAAGGGATGCAAATTTGTAAACATTCCTAAAAGCTTCAACAAAACCTTAGCTGTCTCAGGCGAGCTTAAGAGATGTGACTATTCAACATAGATATAGTTGATTTAGTAAATCTGTTAAGACATCTGTCACATTCGACATCTGTCACATTTTTCAAGACTCTTGAAGCTTTTAAAAATGCCTCATAACACCAGCTTGACGCACACAAAATCAGGCTGTTCTTATTTTAAACATAAGCAAAAGCCATTAGTGTGCCATATATATTACAATCAGCTCTGATTTAATTGGTCTTGTGTAAATGCAAATGCTGACACTTTACAATATAATATGAAACCATTGACTTACAGCAACGCGGGTGTAAGAGGGAAGCAAAGCGAGAGCCTCCAGGAAGCAGCTGGTCATGTCTAACATGAGCTAAAACTCACCCTCAGGCTGTTAGCAGCAGCACATCTTATTCTCTCATACAGTTATACTCCTGCTGATATTTATGAGCTTTCAAGAGCTTTGTGCTTACAGGTCTACATAATCACATTGTTCTGAAAGGCGTCACTGTTATTAGTTTTAAGAAATTTAATAATAATTTTCTTGTTAGTAGTTTTTTTTCTTTTATTTACTTAAATGAAATTTCACTGTGGCTTAAGAATCAAAATCACTTTGTGTCAGTTCAGAGACTTAAATCTAAGCCGTCCCTGTGGCAACTGCATTATGGTCATAGCACCTGCTGTGAATATGCGTTATTGCAGTATTGTAGCCATATATGGTCACGTTCCCTCTGGCGTCTTTTCAAAGTTTCTCAGCTGACTCATGCAAAGGTCATTTTTTAGAGAGAAACCCGGTTTGGGTCTAACAACAAGGGTGTGTGCTTTTTGACCAATCACAGCTGCCGAGGCGGAAAGTGCGTTACCATGTGCGTAAAACTTATTAAGCAAACATGGTTTTATCTGTGTTTTTCTGTCTTTACTGGGTCAAGTGCCTCTACACCTACAACCACAAAAAATAAAAAGGTCAAAGGACAAAACTGATAAATGTTCCTTCTTTTAACTCCTCCATGATTATTTGAGTCTCTGCTCTTTCTTGACAACTCCATGACCTGCTACTGATCCGTTAGTGGTGTGTGAAATTCAAGCACAGCCATAAAACAGCCGCCAGGCCAAACTGAGCACATCGTCACATGGAGTGACACACTCATCAGCGACATTTACCCATTGCACAACACCCGATGTTGTGCAATATATGTTGTCAAATATGAGCTGCAGCACTGAAATACTGCCATCTGTAGGATCCTGGTGAAGCCCTGTAAAATGTAAAATGTTTTCTTTCTTCTCTTTTTTTTTTCAGCCACATTCAAATAAAGCGGAGAGGTTTGACTATGTGAGTAAAAGCTTTTCAGCTTCAGTTCTTTCAAAATCATCTTTTTGAATTGGGTTTCCGACTGACATAAATATGTTTCCACAGGTGATGGAGTTCTTGAAAAGTATGGCTGGTACAGAGTATGTGGGATTCAGCAATGCAACGTAAGAAAACAAACAAACTGGTTGTTTTCGGATGTTTTTAATCAAATCCAAATTTTTCATACCTGTTGTATTTTTACAGTTTCCAGTCAGAGAGAGAGACTGGAGATAGAAACTATGCAATTGGTTATTACCTGAAAGAAAAAAAGGTTTGTGTGTTTATTTTTATATCTGATGGTCTTTTCTTCTTTCTTCTGGTGAAAACAAAAACTTACATCAGTGTTTTAATTTGCATACATTGATCCAATTGTAGAAAAAAAATCACATAGCTTTTAGAAAACAAGTTATGCCACACTATTGGCATATAATTTTTGAAAAAACATTTAACTGAAGGTTCTTTGATCTATGTACATTTTAAAGATAATTGAAGTCTATGAGTTTCTGTTTTCTTGTGCTATAAATATGCCATGAAGAACAGGCTAATTATTCCTCCTGCCAGTCATCGAACTTAAAAAAATAAAAAAAAAGTTTTACTTTCTTTACAAGTCAGAAAATTGAAAAAAAAAAAAAAAACAGCTGCTAATTTAAATTTGATTACAAAGCTGGTTGTTAAAGAATTGCTACAAAGTGAACAGTTGAACTTACCAAATCCAAATTACAACTATTAATTTAAAGGCGTTTGTATACGTTTTTTTCCTTGGTGTTAGTTAATACATATATAAGACACTGCTTATAGTTGAGTGTGTGCTAACTCTGATTGTTATTCTTGCAGTGCTTTCCTGACAGTGCAGATATGATTGGAGCCCTTGACTTCTACTTCCAGGTAACTATAGTATTTCTCTGTTTTTTCAGAGGACAAAGTATTGATGGAGAAGTTTTGCTTCCATAAAAATATGTACAGAAAAATAACTTTTGTTCTCTGATTCACTGAACTTGATTTTAAAAAAGGCATTTCTTTTAGAATTCATGATTTGCATATTAAATTTATACAAAATTACTAAATGTTATTGACGTGGCTTAAGAAATCTGAGATTTTTTCCAATATGTGGGAATTGGTTTTAAAGTTTTAAATTTAAAAATTACTCTACAAAGAATCAATTAATCATTATTCAATTATTAAATTATTAAAATATAAAGAAATACAATTTTTAAATAATAAACTACTTCTTAATTTACATTAAAATATGATTTTATTTTTATTTTCAATGTTGCACATCTAAAAGATTTTACCCATCAGTTTTGTTTCATGAGGTCTTGTCTCAGAACCTAAACATAAATACAATCCTACATATTTTCTTTTGTTTGTTTTACTGTCAAGTCCTCAAAAAATATTTTCAGTCAGTAAAATCATTGGTTCAAGTTTGTAGGTACCTGTGGAAAACAATACAATTTATCTCTGTGCCCATTTTTATTGTTTGTTACAAACTTTGAGGCTCTTTTGTATGAGCAATGGCAATCATTGGTTTCTTTTACTCTTGCATAACAACCACCTGCCTTAATGAGAGGCATTTAGTAAAAATCTGACAATATTTCTCACAGAAAATTTGTCTCTCCATTCTAGTTGTGCTCCATTGAGGTGACCTGTGAGTCTGGAAGTGTCATGGCTGCCACACTGGCCAATGGAGGCATTTGCCCAATCACCGGCGATCGTGTGCTAAGTGCTGAAGCCGTTCGCAACACGTTGAGTCTGATGCATTCCTGCGGGATGTACGACTTTTCTGGGCAATTTGCTTTCCATGTAAGTGTCTTAGTTTGAATTTAGCAAAGCGTTTCAATGACTGTAGGTCAGAACCAGAGTGTTTGGTCTCTCTTTTCCCATTTTGTATTGAAAATACATTATTTCATGTAGGCAGAGAAGTGAAATGACTAACATATTTTATATTTCAAAGGATCGTTGACTTCAGGATAAATTATTCAGGCTCCAGTATTGTTTTTGTTCTCCTTGCTTAGGTGGGGCTACCTGCCAAATCTGGCATTTCAGGCGCTGTTCTGCTGGTGGTTCCCAACGTTATGGGAATGCTGTGTTGGTCCCCGCCGCTGGACCGGCTTGGAAACAGCGTCAGAGGAATCCACTTCTGTCAAGTAGGCTGCTTATTTCTTATCCAGACAAATATATTTCAGATATAACCATAGACTATTAAACAACAATAATTTGATCCAAAAGGAGCTTGTTTCTCACTTCAACTTCCATAATTATGACAACCTGAAGCATTTCACCAAGAAACACGACCCAAGGAGATGGACGGACGACAATCCAGTGAGTTTAGTGCTACAAACAATCTGCCTGTTTTTTGTTTTTGTTTTGCACATTAAAATGCCTTTGTAAGAATTTATAAACTTTCATTTTCTTCGTTTTCCTTCAGAACAAGTCAGTCGTTAATCTGATGTTTGCGGCATACAGCGGTGACGTCTGTGCTTTGAGGAGGTCAGTAGAAACATTTTCTTTCTCCAGCATTTATAGGATCCAAATAAAATACTGCAGAAAAAAAACCTGAAATTATTTCAGTCATATCATTGTCAGTATGTTTTTTGTTTTTTTTGCCATTAAATATACTCAATATACACTATAACATACTGTAAGTTGTAAAGCAGCTCTAGGGATCATGAAACTTTAAATTGATTTAAATGTTAATGTTATTCTGAATAGCATACTTTTGCTGTAATTGTTTTGATATATAATGTTTGTGTATACACACCTTTTTGTCCTTATAGCTTACTTCCACATAGCGAACATCTCTCACTCCCTTCATGTACAGCAATATTTCTTTATTCGTACCTCCTCCGTCTCCATCTCTCCCCCAGATTCGCGCTGTCAGGTGTTGACATGGAGCAGAGGGATTATGACTTTCGCACCGCTCTCCACATCGCTGCTGCTGGAGGTAACACTTTGCATGATTACTTCGATCGTACTTAAATTGTGTCGGGTTTGGCATTTATATAAAACTCAATGAAATATGGCATTTCAAATGCTGCGTGGTTTTTGCTCATGCTCATTTTCCTCCTAGGCCACGCGGATGCTATAACGTTCCTGACACAAATATGTAAAGTGAATCCGTACATTAAGGACAGGTAGGGGGAGGGCTTGTCACCATTCATCTGATACTAACTCATTTTACTAACTATAACAGCCCATCCTTGTCCATTTCACACTGTCGTCTATCAGATGGGGCAACACACCCCTTGATGATGCCATGCAGTTTGGCCATGATGTTGTTGTTTCAATCCTGCAAAAGTACCAACATGATTACAAAGACTCGCCCAGCAGCACAGAGGAGCAGAACCCTGCTCAGGACACGATGAAGAACTCGGTTTAAGAAATATCCATGAAAGTTTGGATTGAAACCTTCTGCTGTACAGCAGGAAAGAATCACAGGACAGAAGGTAATTGGGACAACTGATAAATTTTGACTTTATTCTCTTTTTAAGGGATATTGCAATATTTTTGGGGTCTCAGAAAATGTATTAAAATAAATTACTATTACTTTCTTTACATGCCTTTTGAAAAGTCTAAGCTTTTTAAAATTTTCCAACCAAAGGCTATAAAATGTGTACCTTTTATTCATGGTGTGGAATGATTAACGTCAATTTTGAAAAAAGGGATGCACCATTTTCTTTCTATTTGGTTTAACTGGGCCAGAATTTGGAATATGTGCAGAACAAAGGCTTAGTAAAAGAACATACTATAGAACTACATCAATAATCAATTACTACTACCCTACATTAATTTGGTTGGTTCGTGATATTCTTGTTTTGTGCAAAAATTTGATAGGGAAATATTGCTGAGATAAATATTTAAAAATTGTGCTATTTAGGTTTTAAATCTTAAAGTATATATTTTTCATTGGCCCCTTTCACACTGGAATGAGATAACTTTAGCCGGAATGGTGAAACTCAACAGGGTACTGGAAAATGGTTCTGGAGTCGAAGTTTCCCACAACAGTTGCCATTACAAAGTCTATGTAGAACAGTAATGGTGATTTATTGTCATCTCAGCAGCATATTAGCATCATACTAAAGCCAGTTTTACAAAGGAAGGAGTACAGGAAGCAGTGCCATGCATGAGAAATAATCCCTGCAAAAAAGAAGCGCACACACCTCCAAATTGTGTCTGAGCTTGGATGCACTGGTTGCTCGGAGATTGAAACATGTCGACAGCAGTTTGAATGCACTCCTGGATTTCCTGTTTGCTGCAATCCAAATTGTAATGTAAATATAACTATTGTAATATAATGTGTAATATATTGTAATTATATAATATGTAAATATAACATTTCAGTATCCTCATAGAAATGCAAACACATAATACATGTAAACATTGTGGAGACTGCATGATTCCACCTCCTCACACACATAATATATGAGTGAGAGAAGGAGAAATTTTGTACATCCTGTAAAGGTTATGCAGCAGAAGCAACAGACGTGCCTGTAGCATAGTGATAGTGATATTTTGGTGTGATCTTACAGGGCTGTGGTGTCCTGTGTCTGTCCTCAAGTGCAGACATCCTACATGTTTCAGATGTTTTCCTATTTCAACACACCTGACTCAAATGAATTGATACCAGGAATCCTGTAGTGCTTGATGGCATGCTGGAGAGGTTATTCGTTCATTTTGAATACATTGCAGCAGGACACAGGCCTCCAGAACTGGACACAGCTGTGAGAGGGCACTAAATGTGTAGATGGTGAGATGATCAACATGTGAGATCTCCAGACCATGCCGACACTGCAGGAGAGCCAATCAGAGAAGCAGAAAATAGCACTAAGACCTGTCTGGCGACTGCTAGGTGTAGCTGTGTCATGATTGCTTTCACACTGAAGGAGGTTTCCCTCATTTGCAGCAATCCAAGCAGCTTGTAACAGGTAATTAAAATCATAGAGGGGATTCATCCAGTGTGGAGAGGGCTTTAATTAAAATACTCTGAGAATTAAACTTCAATGTGTCATTAGAGATGTATTTAAAAAGAGCCTGAAAGCTACTGGGACTGTTTTGTTGGGAAAATAAGATGCTCTTCAGTATCCTCCCTACCAGCTGGGTTTTGTTTTGTTCTTTATTGATATGTACATGCTCACTGTGGTGTTTAGGATTTATAAATATTGTATAAACCTTTTATGTTCTTTTTTTTTTTTATTAGGTGGTAATAATTTTCAGACTCAGGGCCAAAACTGCGGCTAAAGATAATTAAACCAACCAGTTGCATTGATAGCCAAGACATATGGTTTCCTATTAGGTCTTAAGGCCTAAAAAATAAGACCACATATTTGTATACTTTTAAATGTCCACCTTTATTCGGCATGTTATATCTATAACAGTTTTTTGAATAATTCAGCTGACAAACCAATAAATTTAAAGAAAAGATTTTTAAAAAGTTCAATAACCTGGTGTACACTTTTAAAATTTTTAAAATAATACCTTCCTGAAATAAATATTTTAGCACTGGAATATGGGTCAGCAAATCTTAAATTTACTTAGTTGTCTGGTAGAACCATTCGAGTCGACATTCTTTCTTATGTAGGGAGAGATCTGAAAAAATAATGTCTTACAGTAAATATAGCAGGTTATAATATTTTTTAGCTTTTCTATATTTATGTTTACAAATTTGTCAGCTGAATTGATCTGAACATTGAAAAATAGTTTGGAAATAATTTATACTGGTCTTATTCTTTTTAATTTAAAACCTGTTTGTGTATATTTGAGATCCACTGCATGCAGAGACGTACCAATCAAAAGACTGGAAAAAGTCGATATTTCCTTGATCATTAAATCTAAATATGTTGAAAATTTTTGTACTACAAACGCATCATCTAACATGAAACAGATACATTTTAGAATTGAATAAAAGTCATAAAAAGTTAAATATCGACTCCAGGCATAAATAGCAATTTTCCCAAAATTTCTTCATGTTTAGTTGTGTTCAAAATGGCTACCTTTATGGAATGTGCAATGATTTCCTGCAGGTTTTATGTGTCATACAAGAACTGATCAGAATCTGTTAAGAGGCATCAAAGATAACCAAAAAAAGGGAATCGACCAGAAAAAGTCTAATCGGTGCTTCTCCGTAAAAATGTCTTATTAAAAGTAACAGAAAGGTTTTGAAGTGTTTAAGCCCCACGCTTTGATAATTTTCATGTTTTCAGTTTCTAGCTTTCATAACCTTTACATTTCACTAATTGTCATAAAACTTTGAACATTCATTGATTTATTTTTCCCCATTGCCATCAGGAGGTATCCTGATGACAATGTATCCTGACAGTTTTTGTTTAAGTTTCAATTTACCATCTACAAGTTTGGAAACATGCGTAAAGTGAATACAGATTCTCAAAATAAGGTTTAAACATGTTTTTGCTTTTAAGGAGAATAAACACACCCTACATGTAAATTTAAAATAAGATAAAAATGTGACATACTCAACTATCATAACTAAACGTTTTTTTTCTAAGTTTAGGTTTTTCACTCAGCAAAACTTCTTTAGTTTACTGTAAATATTTTGCTGTAAATGAAAAAAAAAAGTGAAAAATTTCAGTGAAGTTATTTTATTAAACACTACATGGTTTGAATATGAACACAGAGAAGTTCTGTGATGTTTTAAGGAGTACATTTGTGGAGAATACCACAGCATGAAGTTTATCAGACAAAATTGGCAGCAAACATTTCTCAAATCTAACCACACATTCCTTGTTTCCTCATTTAGTCGCTGAGGTAATGTTCCATTACATGCAGAAAACACACACAGAATGAGTTTATATTATTCAAAGTGATGATTTGCTGAATTACACAGTAATTAATCATCATTTGAAGATGAGTCCTATTGCTGTTTGTCCTGCACAGTTATGTAGGATACTGATAAATTCTGCCTGATTGTCCATGGCAGTCATCTGGGTTACTCCAGCTTCACTTCAAGCCTTCTGGCTCCTCCAGACCAGAGTGTGTGAGGATTTCCCCGTCCCAAAGCCCAAATGCTGGGCAAACAGGAGCCATGAACCGACCTCTGAGTGTGTGAATGATTCTGGGTTTCTCAATGTCCACCAGCCCCACGAACCCGACGTCGTAGTCGAGCAGGATCCCTACTCGGTCCGGCTTCCCCACCAGAGTCACAGGAACCACCTTACTGCCAGTCATGGCAAACCACTTCCTCTGAGCATAGCCAAACACCCAGGAGGAGCTGCTGGTACCCACACACTCGTCTCTGGACATCAGCGCCTCAGCGACCCCAAGACGAAACTCCTGGGACTTTTTCACCGTGACCTCCCAGTAGTGTCGTCCGCTGCTAATCGTTTTGTCGCCCAACACGACGGCCCACTCTCGGAAACGCTCAGGGTCGTCCTGGACCTGGGAGGGGTCGAGGCCCAGCATGCGGTAGATGATGCCTGTGTCTTTCTTAAAGAGGTCCAGGCTGCTGTGGGCTGTACGCTCACTGAGTCTGAACTGAAGGTCTAGAAATAAAAAAAAACACAAATGTGTTATCAATAATAAAGTCTAAATATTCACATAATTCATATGCATGTCATTTATTGATTAACCAAGTTATCTCTACATTTCCCCCAAAAAATGTAACAAACTGCTGGACGATAAAAAGCTATCACAATAATCAATAAAATTACTGTTTAGAGACCATTTTTAAGTAACATAGTGGTAATAGCAATCATAGGGTTACTAGATTATCTTTAAAAACATATTCAAATGACCTGTAAAACTGTAAGAAGTAAATTTGAAGCCATCATGCTAATGTAATTTGTCATTATTTACATGTACAGAATCTAGTAAGGCTCAGGTCAAAGCAGATTACCATCCATTCAAAAATACTCACATCCACCAAACGGTATGTATATAAAGAGTTATTTAAACTGGAGGACCAGCTCTGCATGAAGTGTGTTACAAAACTACTGGCGGACTTGTCTCTGCAAGTATTGTGTCAAGATGCAGCAGCAAGCTGCTCCATCCATTATCGGACAGAGCGTCTTCAGTATTTCAACAAGTCCTTGCGTGTGCAACGGGAATGGCTACAACTAAGGTTAACAGTATTTATATTTTCATATAGTAAATGCTTGTTAATAGGCATCTTTTAAAGACACGTTTTGTTACATAAACTTTTTAATCTACCCTTGATTTTTTGTTGCCCTTTTGAGGTCAAGGTTCCCCCTCCCTTCGATTTTTTTTAATTTAAGTTTTTGGATTTGCACCCCTAGATAAAGCTGCGCTTTTTCACATGAGGGGCAAATGAATCGGATGGTGAATCTGATAACAATTACAATCTTTTGTGAATAGCTCTCAGACTGAGCTGAACCTAATATCGGACATGAAACTATGTTAGCATTGCTAATACCTAACTTCCACAAAACATTGACTTACGATTTCCCGTTGATGTGCATATGAAGCGCCTCTTCACTGACAGACTGACTTCCCGCCTGTGTCCCGCAGACAGCGAAGACAATGTCCGCCCTGCCCAGCGACAGAGAGGGGATATCCTGATGGGTATCGCCATGTTTTTCCTCCTGCTGCAGCTCACATGTCGTTCTTCCTTCTGCTGGTAGATGTAGTAATGTTTGCGCTCTGGCGCCCTCTGCAGCCTCGGAGAGGAACATTACGCTACAACAGCACCATGGACAGCAGCCAGCCACATAAATAAGACTCCCAATTTTTGAAAAGAAAAACTGATTGTCAACTGGGCTTATAACATTTCATCCAATTTGTTTGGACAGTTTGTTTTTCCTACAACTGAAAATGATTTTGAAATCAATTAACAACATGTCAGTTTGATAAGACATACAGCAATCCAAAAGGACTAAAGGTAAAATAACATTAGAAGTAAATAAAAATAATTGTGGAGTAAAAAAGAATAAAGCTATTGGCTTTTAAAAGAAAAGTTCCAGGCCAATCTTGCACATTTTATGGAATTATCTGCAAAATAAGCAAAAATTATCTAACAATTTGACATTTTTTAATGTTTCGTTGCACCCAGAAAGTAGCGAATGCAACAGTTGTTCTTGATAAACAAATAAAAAATCTAGCTTTTTGGTTTTATAAATAACCATTAGAACAATATTTGTATCTGCCTGTTGCTTGACAGCCACAACATTTTTAAATTTCAGGTGAAAATAATTAGCTAGTTTCGTTTTTTAAAAAAAAGATAATTAGATGAATATGTGATACATGTGTGCATTTTAAATCCAAGTTCACAATTTATTCAATCTTTCCTCTTATAACTAATCGCTTTATTTGATGCAACTGTACAGAATAAACCTTATAGGAATAAATGTTTTTTAAGCTGCTTTCAAGCAAACCACTGATGGAAGAAGCACACTTCACAGACAGTAAGAAGCTGTCCTGCTGCTTTGCTGGAAGGAGGAGCTTCGTCCTTGAAGGCGGGGCTAAGTCCACCCAGGCCTTTTGCACAGCTGGATGGTTGCTACTGGATATTGGATTTCTCAAACATGCATGAAGTAATCAAGGCAAAACCACATGTATGTTTTTGAAGAGAAAACACCATTATGACCAACAAATCAGTAGTTGATTTTATGTAACACTACCCCTTTAATGATTCACTTATTATGCTGGAGTTAATTGGAGAACAATATGAAGACCAGAACATCCTGTATCCTAGGTAATTCTCAGTGATGACAGTGGATAATATAACTTCATCAAAATGCTCAATATACGCGCACTTAGCTGCTTAAAATGACTCACTTTCAGTTTTCCCCCTCCCTCTCTTTTCTTCGTCCTTCTCGTTTCTCTCTTTTTCCACCATCTGCTCTCGTCTTGACCCAACGTTTAGCCAAGCAAAACAAAAGCTAAGCAGGAAGCCATGGCAGCGCACACACGTGATCAGATGCATCAGAAGTATTCTGCACACATGGAAATCAGGTTTGCGTTTTCTTCTCGTTTGAGCCAATTAATCATTCGTGTGCGCGCAGCCAGCTCTCTGACAAATGAGACAAATAGATAAAAGTAACTGTGGTTTAAATTGCCTGTTTGCGAAGCCGCGGGTGCAGCCGTGTGTGTGGGAGCCACAGAAACCCCCCCCCCCCAAAGTGGCAGGTAAACAGCAGAGGAGCGTCAGTCCGCTCTCAGACTGACACGCGCACAGCCGCGGAGGAACACAACCTGCCCTCACGACTCAGTCAGCCTCTCTACGGCGTCCAGAGTGGACAAATCCAGCCCTTATTTAACGGGTTGAAGCAACTCCCGCTGAAAGTGTTCAAAGACATTCCTTTCCGTCTCCAAGCTCCGAGGTTCCCCTCTTGCTGGCGTGCGGGAATTATCCGCGCTCCGCCGGACTTATGATCGACCAGCGATTCGCGACTTCTCCCCTCCCGCTGAGGAAGCTGCAGATCGGGACTGTGGCGCTGCGCTGATGGACCCGGACTCCGGCAGCTCGGCGGTGCTCTTCACAGAAGGCTCACATGTTTTGCTCAAACGCGGAGCTGACTGAGTGATGGCGACAAAACTGCATCAGGTCAAAGACTGGTCCCCTGCACGCTCCCCGAGGGGCGACACCAGAGCTGCTCTCCGCTGAAGGAATACTTTCCCAGTTTCTGACTTGATGCATTCAAACCCTCGCATGTTAACGATGGATCTGAAAGTGGAGGCGGAAGAATTGGACTCGAACCAGCCTCCACCCATAGAAGTTTTTGCGCACACCTCGACCCTGCACGGAATCTCCCACATCTTCACCTACGAGCGCTTCTGGATCAAGCGGTTCCTGTGGCTCGTCTTCTTCCTGGCCTCGCTGACTTTCCTGCTCTACGTGTGCGTGGATCGGATCCACTTCTACCTCGAGTACCCGCACGTCACCAAGTTGGACGAGGTCTCGGCCCCGGTCATGACGTTCCCGGCGGTGACCTTCTGCAACCTGAACGCGTTCCGCTTCAGCCAGCTGACCCGCAACGACCTCTTCTACGTTGGGGAGCTGCTGGCCCTGCTCAACAACAGGTAGCAACATCTCACCTCAGTTAGAGGCTTCACTTTCCAGTCCAAAACTCTTAGAGCCTTTCATTTTGTTGCTGTGGTTCTTCTAAGGTAACATTAGAATTGAATATTTCGCACATTTTGCCCCGTTGTAGCGTTTTTTTAAAGTCCTGAGGTCTTATAGCTCATTAGGAAACTACTGCACAGTAAAACTTGTAAAGGCGAGACTTTTGACTTGTAAAGCAACTTGTCTTCACTTTTTCCTGCTGAGTTTAGGCTCATTATTAAGGTGGAACCTATAGTTTTCCACTGAAAGGCAAAGACAGTCCCTTTGCTGGTTCAGTTCCCTTTTAGTACAGAATACTATAGCAAAAAAAGACCGGCCCCTTTTAGAGCAGAAAAACACATTCTGCTCTAATGTTTGAAAAATGAAAAAGCAAAACTTAAATTTTGGTGACTCTCTGAAATCCTAACTTTGAAAGCCCTCAAACTCTTCTTCACATCAGGTCTAGTTCAACTAAAACATACTTCTTATGGAATACTTTGGCTTTTATATTGAAGAGCATTGTTACATTTTATTTCTGAAATGCCATCATAAGTAGCATTTTTAATCAAAGATTTAGTTGTATTTGTGATCTAAGCGTAATATTGGAGATGAACAGAGGTTTTTACTTTTAAGAAAGTTATCAAGTTTTTTTTTTAAAGGTCATTAAGGCCTGTTTTGATTCATTAGTAATGTGATATCTTCTTAAAACTTCCTCTTAGAAAAATTGAAGCTTTTCTTTGAAAAGTGTCTCAGAGCTCTCTTTACAAAGACCAACATCTATTTTGCACAAACGGCTTAGTTGCCCTAGTCGTGTTTAATCTTTCTTTGTAATAATCGACTAATGAGTATCATCTGTCTTATCTCGAGACTTTGGCTTTGAAATAAAAAATGTGGGGAAACCCATCGAGTCTTATTCAGCTTTTAACAGAACAATTATTCATCTCAGACTCAAAAGTCTTAGAAACCAGAACGAGAGCTTTACATTTACCAAGTTTAAGTCATTTTTATTTATCTCTCCATATAAAAAACATGTTCAATTTGGAAATGTAAGTTTATTCTCGTAATGTAGTATTGAGGAAGGTGGTCATAAATTGTGCATTTCAGGTTTAAGTCAAACCAGAAAATCTGCAGGTAAACAGTATTATTCCTTTTTACAAATGAATCAGTAGCTCATGTTCAACATATTGACTCAGTTACTTCAGACAAGATTTAAGTAATTAATCCTCCACTTTTCAATTTGACCTTACTGCAGCCTTTTTCTACATTGCTCAGTCACTCAGTGGCTGCAGAGCGTGCTTGTCTCTCTTGAATTAGGTGAACCATTATAATCAGGAGGCTCCAGCTGTTTTGTTGGTGCAGCTGGAGGCTCTGGATACAGGAGCTGGCAGTGGCACCGCGTACTGTACGCACCCACAGCAGGAAAACAAGCTGGAAGACTTCTTTGATTTCAAGCGAAACGGCAAATGCTCGGGGCATTTTTGCCATTCACACATTCTGATCTCAGAGTGTCTGAAATTTTGTGCGAAGCAGCAGAGAAACGCTTCTCATCCACTGTTAGATTCACTTGCGCTTGAGCTGCTAAAGATTTTAACAAGGAATGTGTTTCTTTGTTCTTGTTTTGCATGGATAGCATGAAAAATTGTTTTTTTGTTGTTGTTTTGAAATCATGCCCAAGAAGCACAAGAGAAAATAAAGATCTAACAGTGGGAGGCAAGAGACTTGTCTTAGCTGTAGAAGCTTTTTGATTGCATGCCCTTTGCTGCTGTAATATGTTTCCAAATGTCAACAGAGGCAGCAACAATGAAGCAATTATTGAAATGGTTTCCTTTACTTAGTGCCTTCAGTACATCAGGAGAACAAAGTGTCAGATGCAGCAAACAAGTTTTTAAAAACAAAATCAGGTCAACGCTCATAGCACTTTGGACATTTTAAATTGATTTTCAACCCAAGCCTACTAGCAATTTTTGCAACAAAAAAAAAAGTGAACATTTAAATATTTATTCCAAAGTTATGGTGCATAAACATGAACCCTTCTGTTTTTTCCCTGCATCCATATCCATGTACTTATCTTCAATATTACTCTGTAATCTGTTAAGATTATTTTTGCTTCTGTTGCCAAGGTAGAAAATCCCTGCAATGACAGTTTAAGCTGCCTGAAATACAAGTGCTTGTGGCTTGAAACACATTTATGACCACTCTCTGCCCACCTCTGGCAATCAAAGCCACTGGTCTGAGAAATGTCTTGTGGCACAGTGTTTAAGTTGCTCACACGCTAAAGGGTCAGTCTTGGCTGTTTTCATCTTCTGGGATTTTATCTCATAAGTGCCTTCCTGGCAGATTTGTCCGACTTATAACCGGTGGAGACTCGGTGCCTCGTTCCAATTAAGTTTTTAGTCAAACAACAAAAACAGGCTCCAGATTTGCACAATCTCACTGTCACAAAACATCTCTCTATGATATAAACCAAATTAACATTTTTACTGATCAATTGCTTGGTTTTACTGTTAGAAGTCATGACTTTTAAGTGTTGTAAGAGCTTCCATAAGACATATGTAACATATTGCCAGATATAAATTCATTAAAGCAAGCTGCTGGTAGCAGCTTGCTTAAATAAAAATGCTTAAATAAAAATGCATGTATTAAATAAAAATGCATGTAGTCCATTAAATGGTGGCTTTAATAACAAATCACCAGAGGGTTGCATTCACTTGATGATACAGGAATTTCTAAAAGGCTTTCCAATGGTGCCAGTGTTTAGGTTCAAATTAAACTGTGCT